TTGCTCTTTTCGGTGACGTACGCGACGAACAGGAGGAGGAGAATGAACAATTTTTTTTTTCCCCTTCGTGTTGTCCCACTGGTCTGCGCGTCCTTTCGTAATAAGCGCTCAGTTTTCTCGAGAGACGCCGCGCTGAGAATCGCGTGTACACACACGCAGCTCATTGTACCGTGCGCCGGGAGTACAATAAAAATGTAGGAGACAGGTGAGGAGACCGCGGCTGCTTTTTTCTTCCTCGGCCCATTGTGCATCCAAGCAAGGCTTATCGCGCTCTTCGGCGCACGTGGATGAAACAAAAAAAATGTACATATGAGAATCGCAGTCTTATTGCTTCGGTGCATGAGCTGCAGGTACACGTATACATATATATAAGGATGCTCGAGGCTGGATTCACCCACATGCGCACGCAAACCTCAAATTTCCTCTCGCGTAGAGCGGGAGGATGAGGGAGGAAAAAAAGAAACTGCGGCGACCGTACGTGTGCGGGGGGAGGGGAGACGGCGGCTTATGTTCTTCAGCGATATGAGGGTGAAAAATGACGTGGGCGCTCGTACAAGCACACGTACGCTAAATGGCCTTTCTCTCTCCCTCTCGTTCTCTCCTTCGTCGCCACTGCGGGCAATCTTGGGGGATTAAAAAACACAGCCGCGGGAAGAAGTGGGGTAGGTATAGGCGCGCCCGTGCGAGCAGCCTCGCCGAAGAAGAAAGGCCCGGGGAGTGAAAAAGAGGTTGGCTGCCGTGCCGAGGTAAAAAGCCCGACGTCCTCCGCGAGAGAGAGAGGAATCGTGCAGCGCCTAGCTCTCTTGGGTCGTTTGCACTCAAGATTTCGGTAATCCACCTGGCTCGCTGCTGTTAATTAGACGCCTCCACCACCCTCTACTTCCCCCCTCCCCTCTGGAGGCTTTGCTCGTGTGCACACGAGAGAGCGCGTTATTCTCGAGAATTTAAAGCAAGAGGAGAGAAGTGTGTTTACTCCCCCGAGGAAGAGCGGCCGAGTGGACTTCAATTACTCTAATAAGGTTGCCGGCAAGAAGAAATTTTTCTTTTCATTTATTTTTTTTTCCCCCGACGCACACCCACCTACCCCCCGGTGATTATGAATATATATCACACGAGTGGACGATAAATATGACGGTAATTGATCAGCCAAGCTGACGCGTCGAGTTTACCGTGTCAGGGAGGCGACGAGAGTTCCATCGATGTCGTCAAGTCATGTCCCTCCTTGGAATCGTATGTACAAGCATAGAGAGACCACAGACGAGGACATAGCACGCGCGAAGACGTGCGTCAACGAGTAGTCACGAAGAGGCATGTATACCGTAGGAAGGTGACGCTAATGACGCTCACGTGCGAGCCTATATATGGGGATGGGGAAGGGATGAGAAGCTTCGGCCGAAGGGAAATTTTGCGTTTACAAAATTACCTCGTCATTACGCGTGTACACACTCGCGTGATTACTATACTTTCTTTCTTGGAAGGGGGTTGGAGGTTCGGCTGGTAATGCGTCGAGAGATGAAAGCGGCTGATAAGAAAACGAAGAAGCTCGCCTGTATGTTGTTGTTGCTCGGCCGTAAACGTGTGTACTTTGGAGATGTGGGGTGGGATAAGAGAACGACGCGTCCTTCTACGTCTGTTTTCCCGTCTTTTTTTTTTTTTTTTTTTTTATTTCTACCACCGCAGTGGTTGAGTTGTACGACATTACCCCTACCTGTACACTTATCGGTATTGATTTTTCTTTTTTCTTTGGAAAAATACGGATTTTCCGTTTGTAGATTTATCGCGTACACCGGGGGATGTCTCATGATGACGCGCAATGACTTTAGTTCGGAATAGCGCTCGCTATAATTTTCCCCGTGGTGGCAAAGTTTATACAATAAACATTAATTTCCAATGAGTTTAAAATAAAATTAAAATAGTCCCCGGGGGAATTATCTATAAGTTAATTAAACCACTAATGGCCCCTCCTTTGAATTTAAATCGAGTTTGCGCAAACTTTCAAAAGAAATATTTTATTTTTTTTCCCCATAAAAGTATGATCTATTTTTATCATCCCAATGTCCCGCGAATAATTATCCCGACTGTAGGTATACATGCACCCTCCCAACCGACTGGCAGGCGCTAGCTAATTTTTCCACCGCACATGCATAAGAAAAATTAAAGGCAGCAGCAATCACTTTATTTTTTTTTTTTCCTTTTAAACACGTATGGCGTATACATACCGCGGGCAATCATAGCCGCTCGAAATCGGCGCTTTCATATTTAATGAGGGAAAAAAAAAAAAAAAAAAAAACATCGCGCATCCGAAGGGTCGGTATAGAAACGACGAGGGAGTACGGGCAAAGAGACGCAGGAGGCGGAGGACACAAGTAGGCGGGTCGCCTTCCGTGCGCGCGCGAAGCCTCGCAACTGTCCGTTTTCAGCGTATATATATATATACATACGCAGCCCCACGTGTCGTCCATTACACGACACGAAATTCCTTCCATCCAGCCGAGATAAGATCTAGCCGCGGCGTCGCGTGTTCTAGGATCTGATACCAGGAAAAAACGCTGGCACCCCCACCCCCCAAGCTCGATGCTACCCCCTTCTTTTTGTCCTCGCGTCTTCCAGCGCTGTCTCTTTTATTTTTCCGCGACCTCAATCCAAAGTACGTACGTACACGAAACCGGAGCTCTATCCGGCCGTGGTAGGTGTAACGACGACACACGCGAGTGCCGAATAGATTATAAAGATTGAGGTTGTCAGGGGTGACAGTTTCGAGCCAGCGGGTGGATCCGATGATTGGAGGAAAAAAAATAATAACACCGTTATCTGCCGATTGGCGTATTCACGCTGAAAAGGAGAGTAATTAAAAAATGATTGAGCCTTAAACCATCGGAGCGTGAGGTTGCACATTTTTTTTTTTTTTTTTTGTTATCGCTTGCCGTGTCGGGCACGTACGCTTACAACTTCATTCTGGAAGTTAGTAAAATTAACCGAGCCACAGCTGATGGCTATCTCGGGGCATTTTTCCATCACCTATGTACTGTGTCTATATACACTCGCAAGACTTCAATTAATTTTTTTTTTTTTTTTCCAAGACTTTCCAAACAAACAAAAAAATAAAAAAAGACACGCAGGCGTGAGATTTTGTTACCCCGATAGAGTGGTCAGAACCGAGTGTACACACGTGCCTTGCGTTACTCCCCCGTCTTTCGCGCCCCACGACGTAAGTGTAGCGGCAAAAAAAGGGGGGGTGGGAGTGGGGAAAACGAGGCTCTTTCGTTCCAATATATGTGCACGCGTGTACATATACAGGGGAGGGGTTGAAACTACTCTCCAGTAGCGGGACATTTCCGTCGAGGAAACCGCGCATTAGCCTATCAGATCAAGTGAACGCTTCTTGTTTTTTTTTTTCCCCCTCCAGCAAAGGGGGTCAGCGATGGTACCTTGTGACGCGTGATTAGTCGATTGTCGTGAATATAATATATGCATAATACCTGTATGTGGGCACGTGTAGCCGATGTTCGTGGTCGATTGGGGGTAGAGATACGGGGCTGGCGTGCCATCGTGAAAAATCGACCTATTCGACACGTGCCTCCTGAATACTTGGCGCGAAAATCGAGGCATTGGAAGTATTCATAGTTCCGATGAAAAAAAAAAAAAAAGAAAAAAATTGCTGGTGGCCAGTTGTCACGTGCACTAAGCCAAGTGCTGCATCGGAACGATCGAAGGAAAAGAGCAAAAGAAAATAAACGGGGGGCCGAAGGAAAGATGCGCGCATTCACGCACACACGGGCGATTGCCCCAATCTCACGATATGCTTGTTCTCAAAGCCTCGTAAATACGAAAGGGTGGAAATGCGCCAGTGAAGGGGTTGTTCTCGCCCACATGGGACCACGAAAGCTCGCCCGGAGAATTAATGACGCTCCATTGCGGTGTAATGAAAAATCCGAGATAAGGATAGGCAAAGGTATTTTTTAGATTTTAATATCCCATCGCGTATTTGTATAATTGGGTTACTGTTGGCTCGAAATAATTTACGAGCGACATGTCCAAGTGTGAAAATTGTACGTACGCGTAATCGATGCACACATCAGCCAACGTCACGTCGCACTCGCGCCTACAATTAATGAATCCAAAGACACCCACTTCCGTCTTAATCCTCCTAATGGACTCTAATTGAAATATTCATGGAGGCTCCGTTTTTTTTTTTTTTTTTTCCCCGAAGAATATACCGCCCGCGCCAAAGGTGAATCGTACGAGCTCACGGAGAGACGAATGAAAAAAAAAGGCGGCCAACAAAATATTGCCTTTCATATCAAACGCACCTATACACTCGCTCGCAGCCCCGCGTAATATATCGTCGAGCGTGATCGCGGCCCGTGCGAGGCCTCAAGACGATAAGAAAAGCACCCGCCGACGAGTACCGGCAATAACCGCACGACGCATGAATTAGAAACGTCCAAAGAGAGAGAGAAAAAGAGCGGCTCTCTCCTGCCTTACGTGTGCACACGTATATGCATATATGTGTACCCGAGCGTACTCAGCCTAATTATAATCAGGCTAATGCCTCGCCCCTCCACCCCTTATTCTATCTGGTCAGTCGGCTTTCTAGGGCTCTTTCTTTCTTTCTTCGTCTCTGCACCTGATCTCCCTCCCTCCCTCCGTTTCTGTAGAGCTGAGCTCACGTTACTTGCTCTCTTTGCCATTGCGCGGAGCTAATTAGGATTCAGACACACCCAGACCAGGAGCTGGTCGTCGTGCGGCCGCGTCTTCTGTCTTTCCCAACTGACCAGCTTGCGATGTCTTTCCTGCACGGGGGAGTGGCCGAGTTACCACCGAAGCCACGTTCTCGTTTGCATACAAGAGTTCCGCGATTTTCGACCAAACGGATCGGGGGCATTTATGGCTCGCGACATGGAACTTGCGAATTCGAAGCTCACTCGGTTCATTGTAGGTGTATGTAGTTTTTTTTTAAATTCTTTTAGGGTAACGTGAAATCAATTGCATGCACTTACCTGAAGTTGGAGAACCACTTGACGAGCTGCGCCGTGTTGTTCTTATTGAACTTGATGTCCGGGAAGTACATCTTGAGGACGGCCGAGGACGGATACCTCACCCAGAAAAACATCAGCTTGGCCTTCCTGAGATGCATCGGCGTCAACGTCGTCGAGTGCACTGTGGTTAAGGAAATACCGTCTAATGCAAACTGCACTTCCTCGGAGTGTATATATGCCACATGCAATTATAGCGCGAGAGGCAAATAATGCCCCCGTTGACAAACAGATTCATTCGTTTCTCGGTGGAAAACATCGAAAGTTCGATCGGGCGATAAGGGGGTATTGTTTCTTCGCACCGGCCGAGGACGCATCTCAGAATTAATCGCGTTTTCCTTCGATGTACACCAAAGCGGATTAGAAATCGTACAAGCTGAGAGTCGTCGTGCGAGAGAGAAAGAGATAGGCTCGGCGAATCTAGCGACGATTGGCCACATCCTCAGCCGAAGCCTTACCTACTCCTTATCTGTAATAGGATCTTACCCCCGTGTGGTTTCATCGGGCACTTCTTCTCTTAATCCGCGCGCCACCGACGTCGTCACCTGCCTTTTTTTTTTTTTTTTTTTTTTTATTTATATCTCATTCCTTTCCTTACTCTACACACTTTACTCGGCCTCGCGACCCAACCCCTTCTGCTGATGGCTGTTTTCATACTTCAAATGCTTCCCCCTCGACGCCACACCACGACAACACGCTGTAAACCCTCCGTACTTGTTGGACCACGATACCACCGTGAAATGTGCGTACATAGACGATTGATTAAAATTAATAATGACGATTGATTTCTTAAACTTCGCGACGAGGGTAGTGAACTTGTACGATTTTGCTTACGACTGTACGGCGCACGCGCCCCCCTCAACGCAAAAGGGAGCGATCAACAGACTCGAGAGTTTGTATAGCTGTGTGTACATGTATACAAAGCGCGTACAGCCGACCTACCCTACGGAAAAATGCGCCATTGATTATACATCAAAGGCTGACTAACGAGGCGGGAAAAAAAAAAGCAACGCGCGTTCGTAAATCGATCAAACGGAAAAGATTTTCGCGACACTTGTCCTCGAATCCGTATGGTTTGAAAAAATACTAATATCAACATTTTCAAGTTCAGCCGTTTACGCTATGGGATATGTGCATTCGTTATGCACATACAACCGCGAAGGCTGCGCGAGCAAAGTATAACGAAACCCGCAAAAAGGCTGAATGTTGGCAGAGGAACTTTCTTCTTCTTCTCTGTTGGAGCTGGACAAACGATGCCCCCCCCCCCCTTAGTTTGTGCAAGCAAAGTTAACGTAACTCTGCACGGTGAACTAATCTAACATTCATACGAACTCCCCGTGTGTTAAACTTTAGCCCCCCTTCCTTCCAACCCTCTCCTCTTCGGGACTATGCGTTGTGCAGCACCTGTGGGGGAACCCCCGGGCTTCCTCTTTCCCCCCTCCCTCGGATGTTTGACCAGCGTCCAAAGTTTCCCAATCTTTTCGCGCACTTTATGCATTTCCCAACCCCTTCCCTCCGACTCGACCTCTGCAATAGACTGCATTCTTTAACGACTGCTCCCCTTCCCGCCATTTCCACCGTCCCTACGTTTCCGTTCAAACTACTTTGCCAACGCTA